GCACCCTACGTCTGTTGGTGAATGGTAGTTCGCCTCCCCTCCATCCTCCTTCCTTCCTCCACTGCCTTCCAGCTAGGGTCAACCCTGCTGTTGCGCAAATTTCAAAATTTTTTCGACCCCCTTCCTTTCGGAGAGTATTGTACGTGTATAACTATTATGTCTTTCACATAATTTAATGCTCATCATTGATCTGTGGGCAGTCTCATAACATGGAAAAGTGTGGACCGTCGTCAATCCTGCGCTCTGTCTCGCTCAGGGACGGGAACCGAGGCAACGTGAAGTTTTATTTCATTTAATAGAAGAATTTCCAAATTTTTGCGTAAACCAATATTGATAATAAATCACAAAGTTCTTACTTGCAGAAAACTACCAGTTTTTTTTCGATCTTCTCAATTTTCCTTATTTTATAATCTGAAACTAAACCTTGATTGGACAATGCGTCTGCAATCAAACCCCTCCATTCAGAAGGTATATTTTCTTCAGAAGAGGGCTCTGGGCACACCAAAATTTAGAAACTCAAACGTTTCTCTCCCTATAAAGTAGTTGAAATGTTCGAAAGTTCAATACTTTCAAAAAATCGTATCCGTCACTCGAAGAGTACTTGATAACAAGTGTGAAACTTTTCTGAAATTTTTTCTTCTTCCTCAATCTTCTTGTGGGGTCTCCAGAATTTGATTCAGCAAATTCGCTACACTTTGTTCTGCTTAGATTTGATTTGAAAGCATAGAAATTCTCTTCAGGAAGTTTGTCTGCTCACGGCCGCTGGCAGGGAAGGCGTTTCTATGAGAAAACGCCTGCTCGGGTTTGCGCCGTGCACCTGTCTCTGGTTAGAATTCGCACTTGCATTTGAATGTCCTCCATTTCCCTGAAGAAGGTGTTAGTATCGTGACTGAGTTGCATTGTGCTGTTATATTGTACTCTTGTTTCACTTCCTCATAAAGTGCTCCACATTTTGTTCTCCTTGGAATTTCAGGAATCTATTGTAATCTTGATCTATGCTGTCGGGTGAAACCGCCGTCTAATGCTCCCATGAAGTCTTATCTGTGTGACCCTCCGACAGCTGCACGGTGCACAGCTCCTGGAGAACATTAGAGCGTGTATGTGCACTGGCGGATACTGCACTTTTCAAGCCGTCTTGCAGGCCCGTCTCTCTAGACACGATCACCTCCCCTTTCGGTCAACCGAATACGACCCCTTGTTCTTTGCGCAACGGGCGGTTGACCCTGCCTGCTTCCCCCTCCTCCAACTACAGTCACCAAGACCGCTTGAATCTGAGGGAATACCTTGCATGAAAACTCTTCGCAAGGCCTCAGGTGAAATACAGTTCTGAGGAGATTGCCCACTGCAAGTGTTCCCGCATAGGTCTTATGTTTGTCGTCGCACGTAGAGACTGCTTCTCTATTCACCTCGTGTTTAGTTGGCGTCAGTTTGTAGCTGCTTTCAGGCGTCACATCGCCGCAGAGTCTGCGCACTCTTCATTTCGCAAATTACGCCGTGATGCGGGATATAAAAAGAGCTCAATCACACGCATGTGGTGAGCGTAACGTAGCTCCTCGCGAGGACGCTGGAAGGTGTTTCCTGATACATGCAGTGACTTTTGATGGGGTCTCCCCCAAGTCCATTCGTCTAATATGCAGAATCAACGGCACTGCTGCATCCGGATGTGCCAGGTCAAGTGGGTTTGATTCCAAGTCTTGAGCGAATATTTAGAAGCCGCCATCGTGAAGTTTGGACTTCTTCCTAAGGGCTTGAATCAATAGCGTAAAACGCTCGTGTTCAGTAGGTGAAGAGAACCCACCTGACAACCGTGAACTGCGTTGCCTCGCAGGAACTTTAGGCAGACTCACTGTCGCCCATGCAATCATCTTCAAAGGAGACAGGTAATTTAAGAAGAAACAACAGTGGTACAATATTCGCTTTATTACAATAAATGTGCTATAAGGCACGTATTGTATTGAGCGTAGAAAGAGCACAAAATCGAAAGAGAGTCGAAAGAGGATCAACAAGGAGGAAAATAGTTTTGTACTGAATGGCGCATTACGCGATTGTCTCGGTGTCGGCATCTGGTGTCACAAGATGTAGAAGCGGCGATTGTAGAAGTGACCCGTACGGACGAGAGTGAACACTACTAAGGCCGCGACCATACTTCGCGACTCCAGAGATTAGAATAATACGCGAAATTGGAAAAATGTAGACAGGGAGATTACGATAGGAGAAGAGTTGATAGTGCGCTGGAAGATTAGATAGGTATTGATCCAAGTTGCCGGAGCGTAGGTTGCGATATACTATAGTAGGATAGTGGTAGAGTAGGAGGCTATAATAATGCCCTGACAATGGCAGATAAGTGTTTGTGAGAGATTCGCTTGACGCGCCTAATTTACTAGTTTTCAGCAAATCTAATCGATATGTATCTGAATGTCCTTCTCTACTACTATCTTAGTACCTAATCTCCCAAGTCGCGAAGTGTGAACGCGGCCTGAACTTTAACAGCACATGGCACGCTGATCATAGGCGCTGGAATTGACCCTTCTTATTGGTCGCAGCCTCCCTCCCTCCTCCCAGACGACATGCTGAGGAGGGGATCTAACGAATACAAGTAGCACAGTCTTCACCCATACCATCAGCGTGCTATGTGCTGCTGTCAGTGCTTAGCATGTGCATTTACTCTCGCCCGTCTGGTTGAACAATTGCCACGCCTACATTCATTATCAGACACAATAAACTAACCTGGGCAATTGAGTAGTATGCCCCAAACGTTCAAAACTATAACCTCATTTTCGGTCATTGAGATAGGAGGTTCACAGTCAAAACGACATTTCTATGTACTACGAAGAGATTTTGAACAGAAAAACACTGATAACAGCTGGAACAATACAATGTTTGAGACAACTTCCGGGTAAAATTAAAGCAGGTAATTCGGTCACAAAAGAAAGAGCACATAGTAAATAAATACATATATATATCTATGTTTGTTGAAATCTTCACGAAATAAATTAGGAAAATGCAAGTGATATCACAGATGACTTAGGCCGTTTGGAAACAGCTTCTACTCCTTAAGAGGAAGTTGTCGATCCCGCAGGCACCACGTCGTCTACCGGAGTTTGCACATTCGAACGTTACCTGAGAAACGTCTGGATTCAGGACAATTTTTGAACTCGTAGCCTTAAGCGCCATATGGGCAGCGCAGTATATGTATATTTATGTACTGGCATATGGCTCTGCTTTTTACAGTTACAATTAGGGCCGGAATCCCGGAACGAATTCACCCGTGCTGGCCAAGCTTTTCTTTCCTCTGGAGTGGGTCAGTTTTCCTTATCTAAGCGCTGATCTGGTAGGAGAAAATTATCGGATCACATCGGCTCGTCTCACTTTTCATGCATGCGCCAATCTCGTTCAATATCACTGCAATTTCAAAAGATATTTTGAAATGCGTTGCTTTTCACGAAGTTCAAAGGGGCCGAGAAGGAAGATTATTGCCTAATGCGTTACCTTTTTTGCCTTAACTTTCGTAATCTCACTAGGACTAAGACTTACATTTGACGATGCATCTGGCTCACTGTAGAAATAAAGGCAAACCCCGGGACTAAAGTGGCGCTATTAGTGCTCCGTGGTAATAGCTCAGCCACGGATCGCCTGGAAGTGGGGAAAGAAAGAGAAGTCTTTGAGAACGCTGGAACTAAGTCCTTAATCTTCAGTAAGGTCGGATGTGGTACGATGGCGAGACAGGGCGGTCAAAAAAGACAAAATATGCGAGAGAGACGTCGTTCGAGAGAGCACGCTGATCACACCATCTCTTGCGGTAGGTGGGCAGCGTTGGAGTCGGTGTCGATGGTTGCAGGCCCGTAAGGATCAGCGCCCCAACCGCGCAATTTTAGCGACGAAGCTGGAGTAATCTAGGTAGGTACGGACATCACAATTTCCCTCGTGTTATTCCTCCTACTAGTCGGGCTAATCCCGGGGTTTGCCTGTGATTTAGCTGGTACACCCTTACTTACTCAAACTTCCCAAACCCTCACATTCTCCTAACATTTCCCAATACCTCAAAATGGTTGCCGAGCAGGAGGATGGGAGCTCCGAGTACACGATGATGTAAAGGGGTGTTCAAAAAGGGGACACTTCACCCACATTTCAAACAGCTTAATCACACTTTGCCGAACTCAACCGATTGCTCCCAACTTAGGTTCGAAAACCCCATCCCAATCTAACAATAAACATTATAATAGCTTTCTGCAACAAGTACATCACGAAATTTGCCACGGGAACCTTGTGCTCGGTTCGAGCTCGACTAGTCCTTGCGAAATCATGGACCACTGCGGCTCTATCTGGAACGCTGGTCGGAAAGGGTCCTGCATAATTAAATTCTACTTTCCCTTTGAAGAAATACGTCAGTGAACCGATTAAAGGAATTTCGTAACAGCTTCAGGATAGAGCAATTATGGTAGGCCTTCCCGAGCTCAACGGTGATAGAAGACGACGTCGTATTTTAAGGATGGTGAGGGCAGTGGAGGAGAGCCTGCTTCTGCTCGTAGGAGGACATCTTAGGGATGTTTTGTCGTAAAAGTTTCAACAGCGGCAAACTGTGAGACGAAAACTCTGCGATGTGCGCCATGGGAAAGTGCCTCTTTTTTTGGCCACCCCTGTACATGCACACTACAGTGAACCCTAAAAGCTCCTCGAATAAAAAACAATTCCAAAATGCCATAAAAAATTATAGAGAGTCGTTAAAAAACACGAATATCAATGTGACCTCCCTCCAAAGTGCATCAGTTCCAAGCGAACTGGAACACACCCATCATCACCATAATAGCTCGTTTTTGCGATGTAGGTCTAAAAGGAGGTGGTGCGATATCTACCATCACTGCCTCCTCTTCCCCCCTCCTGTCCCGTTTGCTCTTGCAAATTTGATGACTCTTCGACCTATGAAAACGAGATTACTCGGTCATGTAGAGGAGTAAATACAGCATCGCTCAGCGGAATATATACAGCAGATATATATTATTTTAACTGTACGAATAAGTGCTCAAACCGAAAGCAGTGCGATATAACTTGTTTGGAATATCATGCTGTAGAAAACCTACCGTGCGAGTTCCTGCCGGACACTGTAGAGCAAGTCGTCGCCATGATCGGTCACCCATCCGATAGCCGGAATAGGTGGACAGCGGGCAGAAGTCGTCGCAGCACACTCGCAGTTGCAATTCACGTGTCGCCTCCCATGAATCAAACGAGACTGCGAACGGCTCGACTGTCTCTGTCTGGACCAATAATGAACCTCATGAAAAGCTCTGACAGTTGAAGATTTTTGGAAAAGAAGCGGTAAAAAAATACAGGAAGAAGCAGTAATAACAAAAGAACAGTGCGATGAATGTACGGGTGGGCGTCGAACAGAATCTGCGTGAAGCTTCTGTTCATTTTAGGACTCACAAACTTGGTGTAACGGTTTGCCAGTAGTTACATTGTGTAAAGTACATATAGCACAGCTCCCACTCCCGCCCTCCCCCCTTCCCTCTGCTTTCCACGCTCCCCTCATTTTTCTTTGAGACTCCACGTGTGAGGCTTTTCCATGAGACCTAGCGTGGAACAAAAAGAAGGCTGAGAATTCCTTCAGCTAGAGAGTAAACGGAAAGCCAATGCTTTTTTGTAAATTATTTAATTTTTTTAGATATTTCATAAATGCAATAATACCTGTAATGTTAGTGTCGCCATTTGAAGTCCACGAAGAAGCGTACCAGCGAAATGTCGATTGTTCAGTGAAAATATGGCTGAAATTTATGTTTTGAAATTATGTAAACAGTCGCATGCATGCATACACACACACACTGCTTGCGATCACTCACAAACGCGCAGACCAAAGAAATGGGACGAGGAGCTTGCAGCAAGGGGACGAGTAGTTCTGCAGGGTCGACAAAAATCGAGGACCACCGCGATGCTATCCGAATTCCAAGATGGCGAGTCTCACAGAACTATGAGAACGGCTTCAACGACCGCACAAGTGAAGTCGAAGTATGTTGGAGCGGAGGCAAATACGTCGGTCTTCAATGAGTTGTCAATGGTGATAAGGTTGTCATATTTTGGTTTATAATGGTGGTGAGGGTTACAAAAAATTGCTTTTGGCGGTTCACCACTGTTTTTTGTCGCAGCTCGCCATGGCGCAAGCTGCCAAGAAGCTATGGGTCGAGCTACAGGTCGGGTCCAACTTAACTCTACTTCGTCAAGAGGAAAGAATTTGTCCCGCTTGGGAGAAGCAGGCTTGCCTCTAGCCCAGCATTCTTGTAAGTAAACGTCTGTCCTAGCTTATCAGTAGGATATTAAAAAGTAGCACGTGTGAAAGCTGCACAGGGGAAAACGAACCTAAATTGGATCAGGTCGCAGTAATGTGCACCGCATTGAATTTCTTTCGGTCCGGCTAGCGTCTTTCAAAAAAGGCAAGTTGGTGCTCGCAATTTTTTACTTCTGATTTTTTTTTGGCGAAATAACGATATGAGATCTCATATGTCTAATATTAAAGGGTTCTAGAGGGGCTTGATCGCAACAACTATACAGCCTATAGGCAGCAACCAGACCACCGCATAAAATCGTGTTCTTCCCACGCGACCGCAAAGTGGAAAAAAGACGCCGTCATGAATGTGTTAAGGGAAGCGGTCACGGATATTCATGAAGGAAAAAAGATGGGTAGTGGATAAAGTAGAGGTTTAGTGCTCTATCAAGGGCGAGATAAGGCACAGAGGGCATTCAATAGTGTCTTGCACCTCAGACATGTCCTTCTCAAAGGGACGTGGTGATGTCGATGCCGCCCTTGCTATGGAACCGCTATCCTCATCGTTTGATCTTCTTCATGGAGAGTCTGTTGCAGCAGCTATCAACGGCAACTATTTATCAATCACTTTTGTATCCCAGTCGTTGACTGCATCCTTGACGCCTAAGTTCTACTGCTGAAATCAACGGGCCAAGGAAAGCTCTGTATTCAGATGCTTGATCGTTCCCCTTGCTTCTTCTTGGCAGCTCTACCTCCACACTTCATCGGTATCAACTCATCGCCAATGACGCCTTTGAGAGTTTGTCACCAAGAGCCTGCCCAAATGTGCGCACAAGACAACTTGGGAAAGCGAGTTGAAACTTACGAGCTCTATCAACTCGTCGATAGGATTCGTTGTATTTTCCGAACCAGTTTGCCCAACGTTGAGTTGTGAAGAAAGAGGCTGGGTTGAGCTGAAAATAAGGTTTTTCAAGGTGTTGACAACTTTAAAGAAATTATTTTCATCTAAACGTTATCAACCTTTCTCTTGGTCAAAAGAAAACGAGAAATGTATTGAACAGAGATATCCGTAAGGCCTGGAAAACGTCTGCCAAACTGAAGAATATCTGGTCTTTCTGTGAGCCATGTGGTTTTTAAGCATGCTAATGTATGGCCTACAGAATGAATACAAAGACCTCAGGAATAAGTCGCGCAAGCGCGGGAAAAAGGGACGTTGGGTGGGACGCGCTACCGCGTCACAGTGTCCCACGAGGTGTGCAAAGTGGTACGCATTACCGCGTCACGCTATCGTCAACGTGTTAATGTCTCAAGCTGTGTGCATTTTTACCCTTCACTTATATGAGTGAAGTAGCATAGTTGTAGCTCGTTTCATTCTCAAGCTTTACAAAATGGGAATCACAACGACTGCGTTTCAAATCTTGCCTCGATCCCTAGGTTGAGAAAGCTGAAGGCGCGCTTTCAAAAAGGTTCTGTAATGTTGCAACAACGACTTCTATGGAGAGAATAAAATCGGAGGTGTTTTGAAAAACGTACTGATCTCTTGTTGCGATGATTCTGCGCCTTGTGTGGTGTTGAGGTCACGAAGCCACACAAATCACCTGGGAAGTAGGTAAATTCATTTATTGATTGGAAAGTGAAATAATATACTAGGTAAAGTATCCAAGAAGTGGGCAGTGAGAAAGAACAAGCTTTGAATTTGAATAAACTCGAACCTTTCTCAAAGTTGCATTCAACCGTTGTACAGCGTGAGAATAGCGCAGAGTGCATTCTGAATAAATGTGTGGTTATGTAAACACTTCTTTGTCATATTGTATTTATGATGAATATTTTAGAAAAGGTGCACTGCTGAGGTGTAGCGTTTTAAAGGAAGCGGTCGCGATAAATCCGTGGAAACGATTGGGAAAGGAGGGTAGTGGATTGAGTAGGAGACCTACCCAGTGAGATGAGTAGGAGACCTACCCGGTGAGATGATTGCTCATGTTTCCAATACATCATACCAATGGCATGATAGGATGCCGGAAAGGATTATTTCAAATTCTAGGTCTTTTGCACGCCCCATCATTTCGGTAGTGGAAACGTGACAACGGCAGCGCACCGTTATCGTATCGTCCGATTTCCTTGAGGTCCTTGTGGTGTTTATCCAACCTATCGTCCGTTCCTAGGGTTATCCTCATTCAACCATTTTCTGTCTTAGGTTAGTCTTATCTCGACCCTTTCCGTGAATGACGTGTGGGCTTCCATCCACCTCGAAACCAGCGTGGTTGCATTCTTCAGAGCGATTTTCTCTTGCGTTCAGCACAACGTGGCCTTGCACTTATGTAAATCTCAAATGGGCTCCATATTTGTATCGCATTGGTAAATAATTGATCTGAACCTGGTCTGAATGGCTCTCGGAAATTATTTTTCCACTTGAAGTCACGTTTTCTCGGACACACATGCGAATCAGTATGGAAGTCAAACGGTTGCTAAAACCTCTAGAAGTGACTGATCATTTCATAGACTTTCTGAAGTTTGACAATGGTAGGAGGATAGGTTCGAAAGCTTCATGATCTTTGTCGAATGGCTACCGTTAATGTTCCCAACAATACCGAACCGATGTTGCTTACTTAGCAATACAGCTCTGCCGACACCACCCAGCCCCCCCCCCCAAATACTACAACTAGTGTCCCGGTCCCTCTATCTTTATACAGGACTTTTTGATCCCCTTATAAAAATGCGTGAAAAGTCTCTTACACGTCATCCGAGTCCAATCCAACTGAATCGAAAATTGTTTGCTTGGGCTCTTCACTCACATCCGATCCACGTATAATTTTTGTTTCCACATATGATGGGAAAGAGTCCATTTCTGAAACACGGATGCTTTCGATTGTGGCTATCAATTGACCTGGTGTAATACTTTACGCTGACTAAAAATTCCGCTTATGCAGGAAATATTCAAAAATTTTTAAGTGAGAGTGATAAGTTGGGTATTCTGCAACCTTTTTTGGTTCATCAGGGTACGTGCGTAATTGTGTCCAAGAAATCTTTACCAGAAAGAGGCAGTGCGAATTTCATCAGGTGAGAGGTTTGTCGCTAACCACCACTTATGACGCGGCTAACTGATTTCCTAACAAAAAAAACTCCGACATACTTTGTGTGGGAGGCCCTGGGATGGAAGTAATGAACTAGCAATCAAATAATGTGATTTTTCCCCCACTGGCGAAGAGCAGAACGTGAAAGCTTGAAGCAGCCACCCTTGCCACACTAGTTGCACAACTTGCGCCACTCTCGGACTTGTACCCTGATGACAGGAATCGTAGCCGCGATTTTACCAGTCACCAGGGATCACTCGGCAGCAGCGTTGGAAGATATATTGATAATAGACGTTCGATGTTGTTTGCAAATTATAGATTTCAAGCGATATTTATGCAGCAAGCGTCCCAATGGCAGCGTAAAACGTTCCCACTGAGCCATTGGTGGCTTGCCATGGTGTAAGTGGTGAGCATGTGAGCATCCCCCACGGCCTGTAAAACTTGCGTCATACACGGGTTTGAAACTTCGGTGCAAAGTCCCATGAGCGGCATGCTACCACTGGACTAAAGAGCGACGGTGAAAGGGTTGTAGAGAAAAGGAAATGACCTACAAAAGTTGCAAACCTTCAAACATTTCGCAGTTTAAATCCCGTGACCGATCCAACCGTAGACACTACGACTATTTTGATGGGGAATCTTTGGAAGCTTTCCAGTGCTTCTCCACGATGTAAATGGAACCAAGGCATGGTAACTAGCAGCTGTGGCCAGATTACTACCGTACCTGGTCAAAAAGAGAATCTGCCAAGATCAACCCTGAGTGTCAACGCTTCTTCAGTTCATGGTATCGAGTCCGTCCGAGAAATCTACCAGTCCTGACTTCAACACCAATGAGGAGGTGAAGAGGTCACTATAAATCGCGGTTATTTTGTTTAACATAATGTATAACTCCAACAGAACCAGTCAAGTAAACATCGCATAAGCATTAAGCCAAGTCTGCACATTGCCCCAGACTCTCTAATGGTCATCTGAATGACAAAAACACATTACTGATGCATAACAGAGGATACCAGTAAATAATAATACGACACCACGAGAGAGGAACGTTTAGATCCCCAAAAGATCAGCTGGCCAGGTGGACTTATCTGCTCTATCAAGTGTTGGAGTACATAAATGGATTTGGAATGCGGTCCAATTAATGAACTCATCTCTTTGGGTGCTCTCTTATATCTCCTTCTTTGCTAGTAGCTCTTTCATATGAACAATATCGATTCGTAGAATCCTTCGCTACTAGTGTTTCTGTGATGTTTCGGCTCAAGAGTCTGCCTGGCTTGATTTTTAAAGCACCGCCCATGCTGTCGATAACCTCGCTGCACTGTGAGTAGTCCTGATGCTTCGAGTCGCTGCTACTGCCGACATGGCAAAGTCAGGTCGGGCGTGCAGCCACGCCTAAGGATGACGTGTCCTCCAAAAACATCAGCAACGTCTGCTTCATCGCTACCTCAGTCGTGTGCGTGGTCCCACTTTTTTGCAAGGGCAACCTTCCCAAGCATACCGCCAAGTTCCACACTTTGGCATGCTGATCTTTGTCTAAAACGTTCTTCCTCGTGGTGTCGTATATTACTGTGTATCCTTGCTGTCCTTGCATCAGTAATGTGTTTTTGTCATTCCGAGATGACCTTGAGAACCCCGTACAACCTTCGTTTCAGGCTTGGTCAATCAACAGATGGCCTAGTTCCAACTCACTTCACAGGCGAGCGCTCTCTTAGACTTTAGAACTGAGGAAAACGTAAGTATAAACTTAGATTCTAATAGAAGATGTTATGTATCCGCGACATGGCTGTCCCTACAACGACTGACTGTGGTCTGTCACAGAGCAGCGACCTCAAAGCTCAATGTCACTCACATGCAGGAATGGTTCGACAGCCATGGCAGTCTTTCAAAAGACAGCCGCGCCAGACTCCTGAGCCAAACATCACGGCACCACTAAGGGAGGAGCTACAGAAGTCGCATGTCAGTGAAGCCAAAAATAAGCGCCTACGGAGAGAGACCCCCCACTTAGAGGCAGTCATTAATTGACCCCCCCCCCCCCCACTTTAAACCCAGTTTACGTATCCAATACTTTGGAGATTTCTGGCAATGTGGACTTTGCTTAAATATTAAGCGACTGGTTTACTTTACTGTTCTGTGTGGGTTATACATTATTTAAAATCGAATAAAACGTGATCAAGTGACCTTTCACCTCCTTCAATTGATTTCGAAACCCTTCTCAAAATTTCTGAAACGCCAATTTGAGCTCAAGGTGATAATTTCTGTGTGGTCATAAAACACGTTAGTTTAATAATTGTTTCAAAATTCGAGAACGTTTGCAGTGACTTCTAAAAGAGAAACATGCAAAAACAGTTGTGTTCATAAATTTCTGGCCACACTGTATCTATGCAGTTAATCCTTGATCACGCTCGTTTCAAGTAATCAGTGTGCACAAAATGATATGGCCCTTTCCGGTGCAATTGTTGAGCTTCTAGGTGCCCCTATGGTTTTACCAGTAACCTCCTACAGGCTGCGTTCCTACTTTTGTGATATGTAATTACCAATGTTCTTCTCATCGTCGTTTTCATGTCACAGTCTGAACCATTCCTCATCTCACGGAGCAAGGAAGAGGACGGAAGGTTGGCTACAACCTTCCACGCAAAAACACCAAATATTTCAGTCTTCATTGAGTGAGTTTTTTTTGTTTCGTTCTGTGCTATTACGGCGAACCTGTAAAAGTGAGAAGTGCACTGGGAGCTGGTTACGTAAAATTACAGATGGATTTATTTCGCGGTTGAGTTCATTCAAATGCAAGTCTCAGGTGAACTATAAAGATTTCATACGGGGAGGCGATGCGACAAGTTTCTTCTAAAGAATCGTTCTTCGAAAAAGGTCAAATAGTTTAATATTATTTCTGCTCATACTTCATACATGGAGTCACACTGAATTGGAGCTACCCACGGCTTGTTGTTATGTATTCACTATTAAGCAATCGGTAAACACTTGATCTATAATTCACTTCGTGCCAAGTCTTAACTCTGATCGCTGCGTATAAATTGAACATCACGGTCGGGTTGGGCTCCTTGCATATCTCATTTTTTGTGAATATACATGCAAACTGAAACACTAGAAACCATTTTTTGATTCTAATCAGTGAAGAAGACTCCAATCCAATAATGCGTGAGACTGGCTGGTG